GGCGAGAACGGGGTGGCCGTGGTGCTCTCCGAGGAGTTTCACGATCACGTCCTGGAAGTGAAACGCTTTAGCGGCCGGCTTATGGTAGTGAGGGTGCTTATCGAAAGGCTCGTGAACCACTTGATAAGCGCCTACGCACCTCAGGCCGGTTGCAGCAACACGGACAGGGCGAGGTTCTGGAATCAACTCGGGGAAGTGATAAGTGCCATTCCTTTGTCGCAGGCAGTCGTCTTGGGTGGCGACCTGAACGGTCATGTGGGTGGGGCGTGCGAAGGGTTCGAGCGGGTCCACGGTGGCTACGGGTACGGCAGTCGCAACGCGGAGGGAGGAGACATATTCACAACGTGTGCGGCGGCCGACCTCGCCATCGTGAACACGTTCTTTAAAAAGAACCCCGAGCATTTAATGGACCTACAGGAGCGGCGGACACGCCACCCAAATCGATTTCCTACTCACCAGGAGACACCATATCAGCAAAGTGGCCAACTGCAAGGTCATACCAGGTGAGAGTCTCACTGCGCAACACCGTCCTTTTGTCGTGGATCTCTGCGTAAATCCGGCCGACAAGCCCGCTGAGCGCTGCTGACGCCAAATCAGATGGTGGCAGCTTGATAGTACCACGTCCCAGGAGTTCATCTCAGCGATCGGCGATAAATGCGCCGACACTGAAGGTGACCTAGTCCAGAACCACTGGGACAACATTCAGGCTGCCATATCTGAGGAAGCGAAAGCGGTGCTGGGCTTGTCCAAGGGTGATCGCAAACGTGACAAAGAAACTTAGTGGTGGGTGAAGAAAGCCCTCTTCAAAACGTGGCAAGCGTCCGGATCTTCTGAAGACGACGCATATAGGGATGCCAAACGTGCCGCTAAGAAAGCTGTAGCCAGAGCCAGACGGGACCACTTGCAGCCGTTGTACGACAAGTTGAAATCGTCTGAGGGGCAGAAGCTTATCTTTAAGCTGGCACGTTTGAGGGTCTTAGCGGCACAAGATATTTCCAAGTGTCGCTGCATTAAAGACCCTCATGGCAACCTTATATGCGAGGTCGACGCGGTGAAGGAGAGACGGCGCTCATATTTCCACGAGCTACTGAATCAGCAGCACAGAGAGGTGCAGCCACCGGTCCTTCCTCCGAACCAGGGACTAGTGCGACTGGTAACGCCTGAGGAAATCCACTTAGCTCTTCGTCGCATGAAGAATCGGAAAGCTGTCGGAGCCGATGGGGTTCCCATCGAGGTCTGGAAGGCAAGGGGTCCCCGTGGTGTGGGCATCCTTACCGGCCTCTTTAATCGCGTGCTCCTCACCGGTAAAATCCCTGACCAATGGAGACTGAGTATTATCACTCCAGTCTTCAAAGGGAAGGGATCGGTGCAGGAGTGTGGCGATTATCGGGGCATAAAGGTCATGTCCCACGCCATGAAGCTCTTCGAGCATATAATAGACTCTCGGATCCGACAGGAGAGTTCTGTCTCGGAGGGTCAATATGGGTTTCGGCCTGGTCTTGGGACCATGGATCCTGTTTTTGCCCTAAGTGTCATCATGGAGAAATACATATTGAAGAATACGCCTCTGCATTTCATGTTTCTTGACATGCAGAAGGCCTTCGACTGTATCCCCCGTGTAATGATCTGGTGGGCACTGAGATCCAAAGGGGTACCAGAAACTTATATTGACATCATCCGAGACATGTACCGCGATTCCGATTCCAGCTCAGGGCTCAGGGCTCAGTTCTCAGTCCCTATCTGTTCAGCGTGATATTAGACGAGGTGTCAAGCTCCATCCGAGACACGCATGAGCAACCCCCGTGGATGCTTATGTACGCTGACGATATCGCGCTGGCGGATGCGGATAGAGGGAGACTGGTACGACGCGTGAATGCGTGGAAGGAGTCGCTTGAAAACGGCGGTCTGAGACTAAATGTGGCGAAGATTGAGTACATGGTCTGCAACGCTACAGATCCCCTACCCGTACGCATAGGCGAAGACGCGGTCGAGCCTACGGGCCAGTTTAAATACTTGGGATCTGTACTTAGCGCGTCCGGAGACATCGACTGCGACGTCAGAGCCCGAATCGCAGCCGCTTGGGCAAAGTGGCGTGAGGTGACTGGTGTGAAAGACCGTGTCAGAAACTCCCGCATCCGCGGCAGCCTTCACGTCCGTGACATTGCAGATAAACTGCAAGAAAGCCGACTACGTTGGTACGGCCACATCTTACGAAAACCGGCATGCTACGTGGGAAACAAATGTCTGGCTACGCCACCTCCGCCGGGCCCCGGTAGAAGGGGCTGACCCAAGAAGTGCTGGCTTGACGTCGCCAAGGGTGATATGCGTGCCAATGGTCTCACCACTAAGGATGCCGAAGACTGTGCAAAGTGGAGGAGAAAAAGTAGGAAAACGGACCCCGGGCTCCGCAGCAATACTGCTGAGCACGCAACCGGGACAACGCTTAGATTAGAGAGAGAGACAAGTGTTTTTTGGTGGCAGATAAAAATTTTGCTCTAATTCGACTGAAAATCGGCATGTCGGATGTCTTTATGGGTGTTTCATAATAATTTAAGATCCAAACTTATTTTTCGCCATTGTTCAATATGGCTGCCATACAAACTTTTTTATGGGCAGAAAAAATTTGCTGTAATTTGACTGAAAATCGGCATTGTTTATGGGTGTTTAAAAATAATTTGCGATCAAAATTTACTTTTTGCCATTTTTCAACATGACCGCCATTAAAGAGCCATGTTTCTTTTTTAAACAAAGTCATAAATTGCCAAAGGCGTATGCCGAGGTCCAGGAGAGCGAAGCCCGAAACGTCCATACGCCACCATACATAGGTAGTATGCGGAGGCTCTATTACGAGTACAAGATCTCACAATTGTTCAAAATGTAAGGCACACTTCCCGATGTAGTCGAAATGAGATACTTATAGCGTTGTTGTATCTCGACCGTCTCTCTGTTAGATTCTTTTTTCTTAGAAGCTATATCAAAGAGAAGTATTTAGGGGAAAAAATACCAGACAATCACACCAAATTTCTTTTCTCAAATTAGGGAATATCCTGTACTATGAGTGCCAGAGTAACGATATCTCTGAGGGCAATACCCAGAATACCCAGACCAGAACCAACTTCGAAATGTTCGTTTCCTAAATTCTATAACATAACACAGCAGTAACACATTGTACTAAGAAGACAGACAACTATTTAAGTAGTTTATTTTAAGTTCTTTTTTTCGCGACACACGCGTGTGTCAGTCATCTCGGCTCGGGGCTCATAGAAAACCAGCGCCACAGTCAATCATGGCTGTGGCTTATGCTGAATGAAGTCCTTTTGCGTACGCCACAACCACACATACGGCAGTGCAAAATTTGTAGTCGTTATATTTTGTTTGTTTGCTTTTTTTCTGATTTGTCTTATTTTATGTTGTTTTTTTTTTAATTGTATTCTTTATTTTGTTTATTAGGTTCCTTTTATTTTCTTTTGTTTGTCTGTGTTATCAATTTTTGGTTTTTTTTTTTTGTATCCGTAGGTACTGTGGCGTTGCAATAAATGTCGTTTCTATTCTATTCTAAAAATTGGCCCAAATCGGGATTCGAACCAAGAACCTCCTCACCAACTCGCCCATAGTACTAACCGCTGTGCCACCGAAGAGCATAAACACACCCCGTAATCGAAGCCCTACCACGCGCCCCAGGACGAGCCTACGATGGGGTGTAGGGCTCGTTATCTATATCGTTCCAATTTATGTCCTAGCTTAAGAACAACATAACACGTCAAGTTTCAGTATTAAAATATATAAATAACTCCTGCTACAGATACTTTTTAGCAGCGTCACGCCTGCATACAGACTATTATGTTGCTATAGTAGCACGGACGGATTGCATGCGCGTAATCGACATGTACACCATTGCATGCATTCGACACTATCGCCTCACGCCTATTTCAGGAGCGCAGTGTATTTAGTGATATCAAAATAGGAGATGTTGCTTGTAGTTTGCCGCTCTATTCACAAAATTTATGATTCCAAACGCTGATCTTACTTTTTAAGAAATAGGTAATATTCACTATCAAAATTCTCAATTTTAATTTGGCAACAAATTCATGTCTGTATTTCCCAACTGCACTCTGCGGTGAAATTTGTAAAAAAAATGTTAACAAAGATGTCATTACAAAAAAACCTTAGAACATCAAAAAACAATATTTTAAGAATCTTGCAAATGACATAATTCCGTGGAGAAGTTTCGCTAATTGTGTTTTTGTTTTACCATTAAGTTGATTAAACTTTCAAATAATCGTTACCTTTTGCCATTACTAAAATTATGCTGTTTCAAACACAAAAAAATTATACGTATCGCACTGCTATTACAATAGTGTTATAACTCGAAATATGTTAAATTCAAAATTATACCACAGTTCTCTAGTTCTACACGTCAATAAAACCGTCATTAGAATATTCTAAAAAAGAACTAAATTACATCTACTTACCTCAAACTGAGACACGCTTTAAGAAAGCTAGTTCTGGCCAAAATAGTCCTTATTCAAAAACATGAAATTATTATTTTTTCTTTTATTCTTAAATATGTTTATTTGGTAAGTAGGAAATAACCTATACATAATTTTACACAGATCTTTCACGGAAAGCGAGTAATTCGTTTTTCGTCGATTCTGAGAAAATACACTTTTTGAGTTAATACACTATTGTATTAACAGTGATATAAAGTCTCTAACTTTTGATTCTCGGACTTTAGTTCAAAGATCGTTCATATCGACTGCAACCGCCGAAGTGTCGACTATGTTGTGCCTTTGCTCACGACTACATGCATTAACTGCATACGTGCAGTCCATTTGTTGACAGCCTTACCAACGATGATACAATTCTTTTGTAAATCAAACACCTTGTTCTTTGATTTGTAATAGAAAACCGAATATTTGTGAATTTTTGAAGTGGTACCGAATTGCAAGTTTGGGGCAAGAATTCAATCTTGCTGTAATTTAGTCAACATGGCAACCCTGAAATAATTTAGTCTGTGACCCGAACTGACGATTCCTCGCTTCACGAGAAATTTCTAACCATGTTGTGTGACAGTAGGTGATTTAATTTCTGAAAGAATTGTGAAAAAGCTAAAAATATTACTATTTGTAAATAAACGATTCAAGAAAACACCATGTGGAAGGGTCTCAGGCTCACCCAGTCCCTGCTTTCAAAGCTGAATTTTGGTGGACGTAAACTTCAAGCAGTCGGTGTTCCAGTTCTGGATTCCGTATTCGGTCAGTGGCATATCTTCTGTAAAAGGCCTCCAAAAGGTTTTGAAAAATACTTTGAGCCTAATACAAGCAAAAACCAGTCCAAGGAGTCCGACAAAAAACCCGATGCTCCTGCACCTTCCAAAAGTTCTCCTTCAAGCCCAAAAAGTAGCACGCAAGACAAATGGAATATGTTCTCAACTCCAGCAAGCAGTAGAGGTGGAGGCAGAGGCTCCTATGATGGTCAGGATAGAGAAAAATGGATGATGATTGGAGCCTTGGGTATTGTTACATTATTTGGTTCAATTGCATACTTTGAGCTCAGGTACAGAGAGATAAGCTGGAGAGACTTTGTTAACTTATACCTAAACAAAGGTGCAGTGGAAAAACTGGAAGTTATTAATAAAAAATGGGTACGAGTTAAATTACAAGCAGGCTCTGCAGTAGAGGGAAAGATTGTGTGGTTTGCAATCGGAAGTGTAGATTCTTTTGAGAGAAACCTAGAAAATGCTCAAATTGAAATGAACATTGACCCTCCAAACTTTATACCTGTTATTTATAAAACAGAGATGGAAGCATCTAGTCTCACAGGGATGTTACCGACACTACTCATTATTGGATTTCTCATATATATGATGAGAAGATCAGCTGATATGATGGGCCGAGGTGGTCGCAAAGGTGGAGGTCTCTTTGGAGGTGTTATGGAGTCAACAGCCAAGCTTATAAATCCTACAGATATTGGTGTTAAGTTTCAAGATGTTGCAGGTTGTGAGGAAGCAAAAATTGAAATTATGGAGTTTGTAAATTTTCTGAAAAATCCACAACAGTATATTGACTTGGGAGCAAAAATCCCTAAAGGAGCCTTGTTAACTGGCCCACCTGGTACAGGAAAGACACTATTAGCAAAAGCAACAGCTGGAGAAGCGAATGTACCTTTCATTACTGTTTCTGGCTCTGAATTTCTAGAAATGTTTGTTGGTGTTGGCCCTTCTAGGGTGCGTGACATGTTCTCAATGGCTCGCAAACATGCCCCCTGCATCTTGTTTATTGATGAAATTGATGCAGTTGGTAGGAAAAGAGGTGGTCGTAGTTTTGGGGGTCATTCTGAACAAGAAAATACACTTAATCAACTTTTAGTTGAAATGGATGGCTTTAATACCACCACAAATGTAGTAGTTTTGGCTGCAACCAATAGAGTAGATATATTAGACAAAGCCTTACTCCGACCTGGAAGATTTGATAGACAAATCTTTGTACCTGCACCAGATATCAAAGGGCGAGCCTCTATTTTCAAAGTTCATCTGGCACCTTTGAAAACAACACTAAAAAAGGAGAATCTGGCACGTAAAATGGCTGCTCTCACCCCAGGTATGGAAAACAAATACTATGTTTCACTGTATTAGTTTTAACCCCTAATTAATTAGGGCCCACTGAAAATCAGCGTCACAGCCTTTTCTCGGTGGTGACAATAGCTGAGTGGGATCCTGTTACATACGCCACAGCCACGCACATGACACTTAATCTAATTGTGTTAAATATTTCATGTTTGCTTTGTTGTTGTGTATGATTTTATTTTTATTCCTTTTTTTTCCAGTTATTTTTATTTTAATTTTTTGTTTTAATGTAGCTTCATCTTTTTTTTTTTATCTTCATTTTATTACTGTGTATATTTTTGTTGTGGCGTAGTAATAAAAGATTTCTATTCTATTCTAATTTTAAAATGAAAGCAGAGCTAAAGCTTATTTAGCTTTTGTATAATGGATAATTTTTAGAGTTGCAATGAATTCACATTCCTCTGCCTGTTCTTTACTATTTGGCTGAATACCGAATATTGTCTCATATTAATCTTAATTAATTCTGAATATTGTTGTTGTTGTATTGACAATTCTGTCAAATAGTGAGAAACTGAATACCTAAAAGTATAAGAAATAAATAAGAAAAAAATACAGTAAATTTTCATGTAACTTTTATTAATACTGAACATATATTGTAAGTTCGCGAAAATGCAATTTTTCGCTTTATCTAAAAAAACAATGTAGTGTAACTTAAGTAAGTAATTTTTCTATATGATTAAAAAAAGTGAAATGCCAAATGAAAAACACCTATCTATAATTTTGCAAACCAAAATAAACAAAGTTTTTAAAAGTCAGTCACATGATGTGAAATAAACAATTACTTTCTTCTCAAAGTTATAAATAAAATATACCTGAAAATTTTATTAAAGTATCATTTTTGTTTCATTGAACTATATTATATTTATCATAACAAAATTAATATGTTGCAAGTTTTCTTACCAATTTTCGTGCATGAATTAATGAAGCAAAGTACTTCACCGCATAAGGCATTTTGGCCACACTCCTGGCCGAATATTCAGTAATATACTATTCAGTGCAACACTAATATTTTGTAATAACCATTAATTAAGCAATGTGGTTTTGTAAGTCTTATAGCAGCGTGAATTCCTGGCCAAATATTTAGCAATATATGTACTATTCTTTGCAACACTAATAATTTTGAATAATCATTAATTTAGCAGTGTGATTTTCTAAGTAAGTGTTTGTAATGTCCAATGTGTGTTTATTGTACTTTTTTTAAGAGTTGTCTTCAATACTTTCTGAAATAGAAATAGCTTTAGTGAAATAAGGTTGATTAACTATGCATATATAACATACCTAGCTTTGTATAACAATTCTAGTGTATGTTTGCAACTTAATTGAATGATGTTATAAAATTATGTATTGTTCTACCTTTGTAGCAAATGCGAATTCCACCCTGTGTGCTATGCAATTCAATTAAGTATTAATTTGGAAACAACTTCACTTTGCCAAAGCTACGAATCCACAAAAAGATTTGTCTATTTGCTTTGCTTGTAAAATGATAAATCCTTCAGAAATAATATTGTATCTGTAATCAAAATGGTATTAAATATTATTGCATGTGGTCATTTACTAAATGACAGTTTTTTTTCTTTTATGTATAAGATACTTACTTCACAGTTTTACTTGGCAACAAATAAAAGGACAAGACACAAGGACAACATAACTGCTACAGATTAAATTAATTAAATTTAGTCGCCGCAGCGTTGTGCTCCAAATGCTGGTTTCACTCTTCCAATGGCTATATATAATGTATTAACCAAAGCAGCTCTTGTTTGTTTGATTAGTTGAAAAATTTACAAAAGAGGTCGGAGGAAAATTAAATATTTTTGTAGAACAAGACAAATGATTCAAAAAGTACCTACCCAGAACTTTCCTGTATATCAAACCACCAAAAAATTAAGTGTAACTTATTATTTTCATGGCTTGTCTGCAAAGCGACAGCTGAAGCGATATGCATCAAAGGTTTAGAAACACTTAAAATGTGACTTACATCAACATTAATTGTAAATAAAAAGAAATTATGTGGCAAATAGTACCTTGATATAAATTATATTCTTTGTATTTCAGGTTTCACTGGCGCAGATATTGCTAACGTGTGCAATGAGGCTGCCCTGATTGCTGCGAGAGAATTAGCCAATGATATCACAATGAAGAACTTTGAACAAGCCATTGAAAGAGTAGTTGCCGGTATGGAGAAAAAGTCCAATGTTCTGCAACCCGATGAAAGAAAAATAGTTGCTTATCATGAAGCAGGTCATGCCGTAGCCGGCTGGTTCTTACAACACGCGGATCCTCTCCTAAAAGTCTCCATCATACCTCGAGGAAAGGGTCTTGGGTATGCTCAATACTTGCCAAAAGAACAATACTTGTACAGTAAAGAACAACTGTTTGATCGCATGTGCATGACTCTAGGGGGTAGAGTTAGTGAAGAAATATTTTTTGGCAGGATTACCACTGGAGCACAAGATGACTTAAAGAAAATAACACAGAGTGCATATGCTCAAATTGTGCACTACGGCATGAATCCCAAAGTTGGTAATGTTTCATTTGAATTACCACAACCAGGTGAAATGGTTATTGACAAACCTTATTCAGAAAAAACTGCTGAGTTAATTGATTCGGAAGTCAGAGACTTAATCAATAAAGCTCACGAACATACTACAAGGTTATTAACAGAACACAAGGCTAATATCGAAAAAGTAGCTGAAAGATTACTGAAACAGGAGATTTTGAGCAGAGATGATATGATAGAGCTGTTGGGTCCTCGACCTTTCCCAGAGAAGAGTACTTATGAAGAGTTTGTTGAAGGTACTGGTTCACTGGAAGAAGATACAACACTACCAGAAGGACTAAAAGAATGGAACAAGGAAAAAAAGACAAATAAGGATCCAGAAAGTATACATTCAGGTGCAAAACCCAGTAAAAACTAAGGCTATGCTGTGTAGATTGTTGAGTTTTAGTTGTTTTACGTGAAATAAATATTTTTAACTATAAGACTTAAAGCTTTAGTGTATCGTCCATAACTGATGCATTTGTTTGTTGTAGTCTGAGTCAGTGAACTGGATGGGATACAACAGCATTTCACTATCCGGTATGGCAAGGATGAAAACTTCAAGAGTAAACCACACTAGGACTGTTGAACAATCATTAATCGTTAGTGTAAAGCTGTTTGCATTTCTGTTCCTGTATAATAAAGTAGCTTCGTGTTATGTTTTAAGCACTAGTTTTTTGTAAAATAAATAAATTCCAGTACCCAATTCGTGATGTTTCTTTTAGTGTAGTGCTCGTCTATACTTGTGTAAATATTACACATTTTATTAAATAATTTCTGATATAATTAAAATCTTAGTAGAATTATTTTGCACATGCGAATTTTGTTATTTTCTACGTCTCTTTCTACAGCTTCTCAAGCGAAATGCGTTAAATATATATATACTTATTGTTCTCTTTTCATATACCTAGTTCTAAACAAAAGGCGCACTGCTAATTAGCACACTTGATCGATGCTTCTTATTTTTAAACATTCATAAATAGTAAAATTTGTTCATACTCTAATTTTAGATACCATCTACAAAATGCGTGTCCCTACGTTCTTAAATTATACTTTGATATTAACATACCTCAGCAGTTGAAATATCGTTAGGGAAACAATGTACTTTCTCATAAACCAAGGAATAATAACTTATTATTTGTTGGGTTTATGAGAAACTAAACACCTGTTACCAATCAAATTTTGTGGATTCTGGTAATGTAATCTAGCACAATGTTTACTAACAAGAATTGCGATCATTTGTTATCTAGTTTAAATTGAACTTTACGGTCTATAATAATAAGCACGTCGTAGAGCTCAAGCTATGTTAGCCCACAACCTACCTTTCATTGACAATTATTTGTTTTAAATAATTTTCAGGGTCGTATTCCAGAACTCTACTCAATGCTCAAGTCAGGATCTGAGTATGATTTCAAGCACTGGAAATACGACCCTAATGGCTGGGACTTGAGTATGATTTCGAGTGCTTTAAACCATTATCAAATCCTAACTTGAGCATTGAGTAGAGTTCTAGAATACGACTCTCAGGGTCATATTCTAGAACTCTACTCAATGCTCAAGTCGGGATTGCAATTGAAACACAAGCACTGGAAATACGACCTTAATGGCAGGGGCTTGAGTATGATTTCGAGTGCTTTAAACCATACTCAAATCCTGACTTGAGCATTGAGTAGAGTTCTAGAATACGACCCTAAGTCTAAAATGTTCAATACAAGTTCTACGAAATTGTCAAATTAACAAATGTTATACATGTTATCGTTCGTATTAATGGGCTTTTAGCTAAAGGTAAGTCATTTTTACTTAATTTAGCAAGAAAAAGACGTAACAACATATTGTACCTAATTATTTGCTTTTTAAAAACACTTCCCGAGATAAAAGTTATTTTTCACTTTACTCACCTACCAAGAAAGAAATGCAGTATTCTCTTGACCGACCTACTAGGGGAATATAGGTTATGTTGGCATATCTGTCATAATTTTCCATGTTTTTACTGGAAAGCACGGTAGATACACCGTCATGTCCTTATTTTAAAAAACATAGTCCAGTCACCTAAACAATTCTTTTTAATTATAGTGTATCAATTAGCAATAAAGTAGGTACCTTTTTGCTAATTGTAGTTGAGTGCCTAACCATTCACATATATTTACGATATTACTTAAGTACCTAGTTCAATTAATGCGACACTAATGATAATTATGTGTTACATTGCAGTAATGTCCATTGCCCTTTCTATGTATCTAAGATTTATGTGCACTACATACCTACTATTATAAATCGACAAAATCTTGTATGTGATAAATCCACCTGTCGAACAAGTTGATGTCCCACCTTTCCAGACAATATTTTGTTTGCGAGTCGGCGGTATTGTATGGGATACAGATATTTCAAATTCCTACTTTTCAATGTTGACATGCATTGTTACCACCTTGGTAGTTATCCTACAGGGTGTCAAGTAGACGAGTGTAAACCTTATAAAAGTGCTGATTGATATCTCATAATAGGGTTTAAAAAACTAATAAGATTTACATGAAAAATGTTTACTTGATATCCAAAACAATTAGGCAACCAGTCAATTATTGTTTACAATATTGTAAATAAATAAGTGTATGTTATGTATTCATTGTTAGTGGTATTCAAATTAACTTTCTTTTAATGAAGTCAATTTTTTTGACACCCTTTTTGTGTAAAATAATCTGTATTAAAGTTTACAGTTAGATACAAGTCTATTGAATGTTTAAAAAAATATTGCAGTAAAATCTTCACTGCAAGATTTGCAGCGAAGACACTGGACTTTGAATAACGAAAAAGGGTAGGTAATGAAATAAGAAAAAGTTTAATACGAGTACCAATATTACATTTAATTGGCTACTGGCTGAAATTAAAACTTTACACATGTCGCCCGTCTCCACAAGTATATGCTGGTAGAACTAACTCCGTCGCGACACAAAATCTTTTTATACGTTAATGAATATAGGACCTTAGTCCTAAGTTACGACAAAAATAATATAATTATCTCACGACTGAGCTGGTTCTGAACACAATGAACAACTTCAACAAAAAAACATGGTTATATTAAAATTATAATATGAAAATATTCAAATATTGACTGAAAGTATGTACATCCAGCCTTCTTTCTGTTCATTTAAATATATTCACTACGTTACTTTTATACATCACCGATTTCTAAAGTTCAGTTTTTGTACAATGTAAAAAAAAACTTATATTATTCTCTATGTTTACACGCGAGCTGTGTATAACATACTCACACATCTTGATCTAATCGAGCGAACGAGAAATAAAAGAAATTGTAACAAAATATTAAAACCTATGGTAATTATTACAATTAGTAACTACATTACTTTATGTTCAACATTTAATGTTAATATTCTTAATTATGATCTATGCTTACTTCTAGCCTATGATATAACATTATAAATGATGAAACATTTTCTTCATGATATCATTCAACAAGTAATCCATTAACAACTCTCATTCCATTTACTCCTATCACTTATACAGGAAAATTACATCTAATCTCAGCAACAAAAAATTGTCCATTTTAGTGACAGTCTCTGATTTTTTCTCCTTTAGGTTTTCTACCTCGTTTTTTGCCGGACGACACGCTAGATAAGGGCATAGTACCTAGCTTTGAAATACACCCATGGCAGAACCAGTCTTCTGACGCGCCTGGCTCTTCGGTTATGCCGACACATACCCAGTGGTACCAGCCATCACAGCCGTCACAACCGATCATTGGCGAACCATTGTCAGGTCTACCGCAAGCTGGACATACCCATATTTTATTCCCATGCTCATCAATATAATAGGGAGTTGGCAAAGGTGCACTGGGTTCAGCAGCAGGAGCTGGTGATGGCGCTGCTGTGGGCTCTTCTGACATTGAGCTCATATCGTCTTCAAAGTGACCTTTTTTTGATAAAGACTTGAAAAGTATTCTCTTGTATTTGGAATGACTTGATGGAGGTCGATGTTTCGAAGGTGGAGAACTAGCTGTTGGAGGTGAAGATGACTGAGGCTCCATCTCAGAGCTATGATTATGCTTTGAATGCTTTTGTTTTGGCGGTCTAGTAACAAGAGCTGAGATTTGTGCAAGCTCAGGTGAGTGACTGTGTTCTCGAGAAACTGGCTCCTCTTTGTCTTTGGAAAGAGATGTCTCTTCTTCCTCTTTCTTGACAACTGGTTTTATATTCAACTTAAAAACATCAGGCGAGCTTGGAGGCATTGGTGAATTAGAATTAGATGAACTGAGCTTCAGAGTTAGTTTTGGTACCAATCCATCAGCAGACTTCTCCTTTTCTTTCTCTTTCTCCTTCTCTTTTTCTCTCTTCTTTTCCTTTTTTTCTTTCTTTAATTTTTCTTTCATCTCTACTTTTTCTTTCTTCCTTTCAGATTTATCTTTAGTTTTATCTTTTTTATCTTTTTTCTTTTTTATTTTAGTGCCATCTTTATCCTTCTTATCTTTCTTGTGTGATTTATCTTTTTTCTTTTCAACATGTTCAACAACTCTCTCTGGAAGAATTTCAGAAGCTGGCAATGTAACTGTTTCTGATGGTTGAGGCAGAGGAGGAATTGGATCAAGTTTAGGTGGTGGTATAGGTTCAGGAGTCGGTGATTGTACACAAATCAAAGTCTCTTTTGGGGGTTCTTGCCTAACAGTCTCAACTTTAGGCGGATTAAGCTCTATTGTTATGTCTGGTTGCACAGGAGGCATTTTGTATATGTTTGATTTCTCCTTATGCGATTTGGACTTGTGTTTCTGCAAAATATTTGGAATTGTAGGCGATTTGTGCTTGTCATGGCGATCTTTATCGCGTCCCATCATTGGAGATTTATGCATGTCTCTTTCGTTGTCGTTATCCACGGGAATAACTTCTAAGCTGGGACGACGCAACATAGGTGGGATCTTGACTGACGAAGTACGAGATGATTGGGGAAAAGTGTGGATTAGGGGATTGGGAATACCTGACTGCAGAAATCCTCCTCCTGTTATTAGTCCAGGTCCACCTGCACCCAAAGCAAATGGATTGGTAAGCAAATTAGGAGAAGTTAATCCTCGTAAGGCTGGATTGTTAGCAAAGCCTGCAAGGAAATCACTTGTCCCTGGAAGGAGACTTTGATTTGGTATTAAGCCTGGACCTGGCAATAAATTTCTTCCTATGGGCATGTAAGGAATAAATTGATGAGGTGGAATCTGAGGCAAAACATTAGATTCATTCTTTGGCCTACTTGATTTTGAAGGTTTAGTATTTCCCATCTTCACATTGTGCTTCTCAGCTTGTGCCATTTCAAATGCAAGTTGCTGCTGTTGCTTTTTGACAAGCTTAGCTACAAGTTTAGTTGCTTTGTCTTTTTTGTCTTTATGTTTCTTTTCTTTCTTAATTTTTGGACTGACACTAGCTATATCTTTGGAATATGGTACTTGCAAGGTCTTGTCAAGAGAAATATTCAGATGGGGCTCTGGAAGTACTGCTTTGGACTGTGGGGCTGAAGCTGAATCCATAGAGTCATCATCAACTATGCTTATAACTTCATGGGCTCTCAGGTCTAACCCTTTGTTAAAAAAATCAACAGTGCTATTATCATTATTGTTCAAAAGAGTTTCATCAGGTTTTTTATTTTCGTTTATATTTTCATTTTTCTTGTTTTCGCTTGGATTATCATTTGCAGAACTCTGCACTTTTGAGATCATACTGTCAGACTGTGATTTCTCTGGAACAACCTCAAGAGCAACTTTATCCTCTTTGGATTTGTTCGATATTCGTTTAAATATATTAATCTTTGATCTATCTGGTTGTGAGGCCAATTTTTCCTCTTCATCAATAGTCTCCTTTTTAATTTCAGTTTCTGGTATTAGGGTATTAGTTGATGACTGTTTGTGAACAGGTGCAGTATTGGAGACTAAAGGTGACTTTGAAATAGGTATTTTCCTTGGAACAGGTATAGCATCTTCACTGGGCACAACACTTTTAGGCGCTTGTGAATCAACTGGCTCTTGTTTGATGACAGGCTTTATGAGTTCAGGGGCAGGAGGTGCCGGAGGAATTACAGGTTTAGGGCCAGTCACTGTTGCTTTTGGTGCCAGCTTAGGCACATGATTTTGTGAATGTTGAACATCTTTTGATGCCTTTACATGTCCTGGAGGATATTTATTCTGCTTGCTACTGTCTTTAGACTTGCTACTTTCACCTTTGTGGCTTTTGTCTTTCCTTTTACTTTTCATTATTTTCCCATTTATTAACTTATTTTTCTTAGACTTCTTGTCACTTTTCTCTAATGTTGATACTTTAGCAGGATTAGCATGATGGGAGGTGGTTTTATGTTTTTCATTGTGTTTCTCAGACATGATAGTCGGTGGCCTAGCTTCAGGAAGCTTGCCTTCACGTGCAGGTGATAAAAATCCTGACATTGTCATCATAACACTGCTGATTTCTCTAGTTCTTTCTTCTTCATCCAGTCTTAACCTTGGTCTTTTGCTGTTAGGCAATGAAACTGGATCTGTAGGTCTCTTAAATATGTCTTTTGGTTTCTCTGGACTATCTGTGATAGATATTTCTGGACTGGCACAGGCAACAGTGCCGGTTTCAATATTCTCAGTACCATTTTGTTGTATTTCCACTATACCTGCAACAGCAGGAGTATCCCGTTCCTTTTCAGGATACATAGGAGGTAAATGCTCATGAACATGCATTGGTCTTGTGACGACTTCATGGCTGCCAGGTTTAAGAAAATTCAAGTTTGACTCTTTCGGCTTCGGAAACTTGTCAACATGGATTGGTAATGGTACTGAAGGAACACAGCGCGTGTACTCTGCTAGTTCTGGTAGCTGAACATTCAGGTCTTGAAAAACTAATCCTAGGTCATTTAAATTTGGTTCAGTCCTGTTGAATTGTTCGGCATATCTATTTGCTTGAGTCCCAACTGTCCTAATATACTTTTCCAATACATGGACCAGAATGTCTAAAGGTGTTGAGTTTATACCATTCCACCCTATGGTTTGGCATATCTGCGCAACATTCCTACGCAGTATCTCACGGGCGTACGACTCTGACATTATGACACCAACAAAGTTATCTGGAACAAACGAATATAGTTGTTACAATTTCAGAAAATAGATGTAGATGAAGAGACAACACGAAACAAATTAATTTTGTCGTCTTTAGACACATTAACAATTACGTTTTGTACAGTGCAATAAGTAGTAAAAACAGCAAATATCAGGTTTTGTACCTGCAAGTGTCTGGTAGCAGAGACGTAGGCTCGAAGAGGCGTGAGCTCCAAGTTTGAAACACACATGTATGGTCACTTATGATCACTAAGCGTCACAGATATTTTATGATAACACATCAACCAGTTATAATGCAAAATAGAGTAGTATTTACGTAAAAACTGCTCAGCATTCTAAAAACACAGTGCCCCGTGCGCCATGATTGCATTTTGGGTTGTCAATGATCAGTGTTGTCAGCCTAAAATAATTAACATGATAACGAAATGGCGGCTGATTTTAGAGCTGCATTCAGTGTAAATTCTGTCTCAAACTCCAATAAATTTCAATATTCTCGTAAAACTAATGTAATTAAAAATATGACCTAAAATCAAAACTGATAATTATCATATCGTCAGATAGTAAATGTGGATGCGCACCTAATTCCTATTGACGCCCTAACTGTACAGGTGCACGTGCGATACTAGGTACGTTTTATTAATTAATTAATTAATAGCTTGCTATTAGGGTCGTATTTCCAGTGCCTGAAATCATACTCAAGTCTTGACTTGAGCATTAAGTAGAGTCTGGAATACGACCCTAAAAAATAGTTATAAGCATAAGTTGACATGCCGTGTCTGATCTTCCATCGTGGTGAATGATTAGTCGACTGGCTACGACTTGGGCTAAGGTTTAGAGATGCCACACCATTACGTGTTATCATCTCATCATCGTACTCGGTACACCTACCAAAATAGACTTTAGAAATGTCTAGCTTCATTCTTGCAAATTGGCCGACATTTCCGTGGTAATGTTATTTTGTAGGCTACTGTCTCTCGATTAAAAGACCTATTGTAAACAATGGCAAATAATGATAAGGGCAATGCGAATAATTATATTTGTTGAGGTTGTATTAGGTCCCTTTATATATTTATACTGGCCGCTTAGTTTTTTAAAATAATATAATATTATGTCAATGGCTGTACGTCGTTATGAGGATGTAAAATAAGTTTGTGTTATGATGAATACCTACATAATATTATTTATTATCTCTCGTCTTTTCCGCCGTTCTAAATATGGTAGTAAGAGTGTTTGAACAAAAGAAGTGTTCAATAAATAAATAAAAATGAGTAATAATATCCTAATACCAATTTTTGACGGAACGGAATAAGCTAATAGGCAAATTCGTCTATTGAAAAATCTTCAAATTTAAGAATTTAATTAATAAATGTTCTGCATGAAAAAATAGAATTTTTAAAAAGTAAGACAGGAATGTAGACAATCCAAAGTCTAAACATAGAACATAGAAAGAAATAGAAAGAAGAAGAAATGCCGGGTACCTCGAACGCGTTCAAAGTGGTATTGGCATTGACTTGAGAATAAACGAACATACCGTCAGCACGGAAACAGCGGTCGAGAACGGGGACATTATGCTCGTGGTCAGGGTCGTGAACGTAGCTACTACAATTTTGGACCAAGAGATAGAGGCAATTACTATAACACGGGATATTATAAAAAAGAGCTTTCACATGTGTATTGTTAACAATTCGGCGATTAGTAATAATGCTTCAATTAAGGAATGACGAATAAATTGGTTTTTAGACAGTGAATGCACAGACCACATTATAAATACTGACGAATATTTCGATAAATGTGTAACATTAAAATAACAATTAAAAGTGAGGGTTGGAGATGGAAGAGTTGAAAGCGAAAAAGGTTGGAAGCATTACAATTTACTTTTATGTTTAAAGGAACAGAAGCAAATGATAGTAGGCAACGAATTTGACATTAAAAAGATGTAAGTTAACTTATTAAGCTATTCGAAAATAACGGATAATCACCAATACTTTCGACGGGATATTGAACGAAAATACGCTATGTATTTTCGTTCACAGTGAACAGAGAATTGGTAGCAATTACGAAGAAACATGACAGACTTTACAAGATAAAAAGTTTTGTCTGTAGGGAAGTAAGCGTAAATGCGGCAAATTGTAATATGACATTGACAGAAAAGCTTTACTAAATATTTTGTAATTATTCCATTACCTTGACATGATGTGCAAAAACCAAATATCAGAAGGACTACCTAACCTAAACAAATAGAAACTGATTGATGATATGAAGTGCGTTATCTGCGTTGAAACACAGGACAACAGCAAAAAATATGTTAGACATTGTACACACAGATTTGAACAGACAACACCGAAGTACAGGATACCAAGGAGAATTTTTTTTGACATTTATAGATGATTATAGTAAGTTAGCGAGAGTGTATTGTATTCGATCAAAGGAACAAGCTTATGAATGCTTAAAAATACGTCAGTCAAATACAAAATATTACAGAAAAAATTATCAAAAATAAGATGTGATAATGATAACGGAAAGGAGTAGGTACCTATATAAATAGCAGAATATTTCACTTTACAAGAGAAAAAGGAAAAATGATCAAATTTTAAAAAAAATCGTATGTCATTATACGATTTTTATATCATATTTTTTTATATAATACCTTAATAAAATTGTAAATATGAATGTGACGTTAGTGTATTGATTGATTTTTTTTTTGTATTGATTGATTGATTGTAAACTATCGAAATGTGACTTTTATTTTTTAATTTATTTACATACATAATAAAAACTATATTGGGCAATTTGTTATACAATTAAATATAGAACATAATTGTACACAAAACTTTATTAGATCCAATAAATTCCTATGAATAGATCAATCACACAACAAGGATTTGTGATTTTGCATCCTATGGCAGCCCTGAGAATTATCATAATTAAAAAAACACTGTCAAAAACCGCAAATGGGTGACTGACGGACAGAAGAATGTGCTTTTTGTAATTGTAGGATTTCTTTGCCACGTTTTGTATAGTCCGAAACATCGTCATTTCATAATATTTGATAATTACACATAGTGAGACACGAGAACCTATTTTATGTCTTTACAGTTGAAAGAAATTTGGCCTTAGAAACGGACCACACACAACTGCCACAAGTCACGAGTCTCAACATTTTACAACAGTTTTTTATAACTTTTACATGATAGAGGTGTGTCCAGGAAGTGTATTTTCGAATGTGTAGAAATGACGACGTCTTCGGAGGATGTGTTGTTAAGCGTAAGCTACGTGAGGTATAAAAAAGGAGACGGAACATTGTATGTGATGAACCAGAGACTGGCATGGATGCTGGAGAATAGGGACACTGTGGCAGTGTCTCATAAGTACGCCGATATCAAGAGTAAGTGGCCTTTCCCTGCTTTTTGACTAATATTTCCTTCATAATAGCTAGCAAGCTTATGTAGATGATTTCATAATATGTGAAAACATTGGTACAGATTACGATTAGTCAGTCTTTATTATATTGTATGACAACTCCACCCCATTTGCAACTTTACTACAGTATCATCATTTTTTACCTGTTTAAATGTATGTCCTTTAAATTAAGACAAGTAAACCACAGGTTTCACAGCATCATCGTTTTCGTCCTGACAGCTGCTGCCACTAATAATTGAGAACTTTAACCTAAGCTGCCCTACGTACACAACTAGTTTACTTGGTACTTGGTGTAACGGGCTGGTGTCCGCAACTTGACGACAAGGCGCCTATTTTAATTTGGCACAAATCAAATCATTTTCCATTTACAATAATAGTACTTAATTTGAAATTGAACATAAACAACTATATGTATTGTAATGACTTACAATACTCTTATTTTATTTCATTGTTTCAAAATTTGTCCATTCATTTTGTTGTGAAGCGGGCTTGACTGAGTTGACAACCACATAAATAACTAATTAAATTGTAAGAAATAAGTATGAATACTTCCAATAGAGATTATGGTTATTAGATTCGTAGCTGATCCAGCATAATTTAAGTCAATAAGTTCATTAAAAATACATTCTATGAAAAGGTGATGCAGCAAGAGTTGAGGTCCTAAACAAAAAGCAGTTTTAAACCAGTTTTCTGTACACTAAACTTGTTCATTCCAAGGTAACTAATGTCTGCAAAATTTTTAAATATATAATACTATTTTTCCACTTTAACTTTGCAAGTTTTTGGACTAATAGTAGTGTGTCAATAATTTTATTGTCTTTGACATTAGAGCATGAAAACACATTAGAAACTATTGTATTTTGTTATTTTCGTTATTGTTTGTATTTTTCAAAAAATACAAATTATAAATATTTTCCGCTCCAGAATTTTATTACTAAATCTAAACAACTTTTCACCCTACTGTTCCGCCATTTAAAATAATAATTATAAAGCTAAGGGTTGGATTAAATAGCTATATAAAATGCAATCTAAAGAACAAGGACCAGTGGTTTGATTCCATGTCAAAATAATATGATTTTATCAAGAACTTTTATAATTTGCTTGATTTCAATATAGATTTATTTTACTTTTACTGTTTATTGTACCTCATCTTTAAATATGATGAGAATGATTTTATAATGAATTCTATGTGTGTTTTCCTAGTTTGTCTGCTGTCAAGCTAGACTCCTTTAACAACATTATTGTGAGGTAGCACAGCTTCATCTAATTTCACAGTCAAACAATCTTCTATTCTCAGTGTAAAAGTGATGTGATTGGACTTTGCTGCGCTAGCTTTGATTCGCCAGTTATTAATCCAAGAATGTATCTCATTGAGATACAATTGAAATATTCTTGAAGCAGTCTCTGGGCCTCTACCTGATGTTAGAATGGCTGTGTCATCTGCGAACATAGCAGTCAAGATATTAACAGTCTCTGGTACAACAGCTCTACAGCATGTAGAGCAATGGCCCCATCTCTGAACCCTGGGGATACCTGCTTTTATATCGTAAAACATGGAAGTTGAATCATTAATCTTAACTAGCACATCCGATCTTTTAAATATGATTTTTATAGTAGGTACATATTGTAAGGTAAAAGTTTTTTGAGCTTGAATAACAACCCACTGTGCCTGACCTCATCAAATGCTTGTTGCACATCTCGGAATCTGAGCAAGCCACTCTAAACATTTTGGAATGTAGAGAACTATGTGACTATGCTGAATGCTTTCAGGGAAAGGAATAAAGTGGTCCTGCATTGCGTACCAAGCCACTCTGATGTCGAGGGTAATGAGGCAGCAGATGAACTGGCAAAGGCAAAGGCTGGTGCTATGGAAACCTTTATTGAACCCGAACCCTTTATAGTGACAGCCTAGCAAAGCTCACTCTGCCGAACGAGAGCACATATGTCTCCCGAGAAGTGTGGCTACAGAGTAAGGGTCTTGAGCAATCAAATGCCCTGATATCTGCCTAGAGTGCCAAACACTGCAGAGATGCTCTGTCATTGGACAGGAATGATGTCAGAATTTTCTAGTGAGTCTTAACAGGACATTGTGGCTTGAACAAGCACATGTGAAATATTAGATAGAGAGAGAATAGAGAGTGTACATTCTGCCATGAGGCAGATGAAGCTCCTGTTCATCTTCTCACCCTGATGGGCGTACAAAGCTCCATACTGGAAAGGCACATGCTACAACCAGAGGACAAAACGTCGGAGCCAGGAAATTCCTTCAGTTGTTCAATGCTGTCGGCCTTTTTCTTTGGTTCTGAACTATAATTACTGGTGATCACAATAGATCAGTTGTTGGTTGCAGTAATGAGGGGCTGCATATGCCCCGAATAAAGCCACCCTAATAAAATAATAATAATAATCAATTCATTAGTGTTTGGCGGTGCCATGCTATATATAACAGTTACTTTGTTGAACTAGATTCTAAACAAATTGCAAGCAATTTGGGGCCCGTGGTTTATTCGTCTTAACCTTTACTTCAAGCTACTTGTCAAATGCATAAACTTACCAAAGTTACTGTGAGGGAGACAGTTCCATTACGCTTCATTAATAATATATAAGCAAGCAAATAAAGTCTTTTTTAGAACTATCATGTTAAGTTGTTCTTTGATGCATGAATACAACATTCAACTGTCCTATAAAAAATTCAAGTACTCACCTTAAATGTTTTTTTTTACTTTTAATATGTGAAAAAGAAACTAGATCTTAATATATAACAGTTATTTTTTTTTTTTGGTTTTGCTTTGTGAATTGAACTTTATAAAGCGAGTTTACACTATGTTTAAATACTATAATAATATTTGTATAATATTTGTTTGTGAAATTTTATCATATCATAGTAATAAATATCCCTTAATAATAAATGACAAAAATATGTAGTTAGTAAATGTAAATATAACCACAATGTTCCCAATAAAATTCCTGCATTGAACTATACACTTGAGAAGATATGCCTTGCGAACACTTTTTTACAGTGTGACTATAGTCAGTGTTTTTGTAAAGATGCTTCTATGCGGCCTATGATATATATTTCACTACCATTTGTTGCACTGTGAATTATTTTGTGAAGAATTAATTCATTTACTATTGAAACCATGGTCATTAATCAAGTTTAAATATTGCAGCACAAAAAATTTCACCAGCTGGAAAAAGCAAAGTACAGTTGCAAGTTGTACTTTATGATGGAACATGTTCCACATTCCACTTTGTTAATCCAGCGGGTCCGGAAGCTCAAGCTAAAGACCGAGACCAGGTGAAGATGTTACTCCAGGACTTACTGCCCAAGTTTAAACGACAAATAGATGGGGAACTTGAAATGAAATCCAGACTCTTGTCACTTCACCCTACTTTGAAACATTTATATGAGGATCTGGTTATATCACAAGTGATTAGTAGCGATGTGTACTGGAATACTCCTACCTTGAAACAATATACGGAGTCCAACAATGTTAAACAAGAAGCAGGTAAGGCACCTTATTAAAGAACTATTGAAATAAATTTTATGCAATATTTTAGATGGCTACATTAGCATTGCAGCAGTTGTTGTGTCTGATGTCATTATTTATAGAATCTGCCTCGAAATGTCTTATATCAAATTGTTGCAGAGATTACAATGTTTCAATAATTTAATCCTACAGGAGTCTCAGGAGCATTTCTAGCTGACATTCAGCCACAAACTGATGGTTGTAATGGCCTCAAGTACAATCTCACTCAAGACATAATAGATGCAATATTCAAAACATATCCAGCAGTAAGAAAGAAACATATGGATTATGTTCCAAAGAAAATGACTGAAGCAGAGTTCTGGACTAAATTCTTTCAATCCCATTATTTTCACAGGTAGCTTTGATGACGTTAAATTTGTGTCTTTAGAAACAAAATGAATGCATTTTGTATTTTTATTTTCTTCCATGTCAGTGCGCAGACAGTGCAAACAAAGACCTCTCAGAAAACAAGTGTAGTTTGCAACAATAACCCTCCCCAAAAATATTATATCTACATGTAAAATTGACCTACACTACATAAATAAAACCTTTTGTAATTTATGCATTTACTCTAATTTATATATTTTTTTAAGGGTATTAAAGCTTGATGAATAAATTTTTAGGGATCGTATTGCTTCGGCGTCAAGTAAAGACTTATTCGGAGAATGTGCCAAAATGGATGACCAAGCGATAGCCTCAGCCATGAAACATACTACTTTAGATCTCACTGTATGTAATTTTATCTTTTCTAATGGCAATATCATTACATTTTCTGTATTTTAAGGTTATCTTAACTATAATCACATTAACAGGTGGATTTACCTCAATTTGTGGAACCAATTCCTCTTTTGCCCAATGAAGAAGACACACCGCACGAGAAAGAGCGTGGAGATAGCACATCCATACATCGTAATATGATAAAACGATTCAATCAACACTCGATAATGGTAAGTATACTTTGTATACTAACCTAAGTCCATGAGCCTTTGCTGTATAATTAATTTGAACATAAAAGGATTGATACAAAACAGCATCTCGTGCCCAAATGTAGTATCTTGTTTGGCTAATGAAAGGCGTATTACATGGTTTTAGTTACCCAGTACATACATTGTTTTGATTTGCATTCTCGCCATATTTACTATTATTTACAGAGATCATTCTATGTCCGATTCTAAACCCAAATAAATTCTGAATGCAAAAAGATGTCCTAAATACTTATTTTTTATTTAATTGCGGTAAACATCGATTCGCAATCACTTGATCCAAAGGTCATGAACTTGCACGGCATGTGCTACCAAAACTTATGGCGTAGTGGGCCGACGTAGGAATCGCCTAATTGTTGCTTCTCTTTCTCAAACGCACTTCGCCCCTTCAGTGCGCTCGTTCGCGCACTGGGATAAGTGGGATCGCCGCACCGCCGAGCCTACCGCAATTTTAGTCTCGCGAAATGCCGCGTGGTTTGTTATGTAAACAAGAGTTAATGATGCTACACTATTGTATTGGGATGGTCCTGTAAAAATAGCTGTATGTATGAAATGAAATAAATAAAAACTTTTCTAATTATTGTAAATAATGAGTAAATTATAACAATACGAGTACATAATCATAATAGATAAATAAGCGATCGAGAAAGATTACGTATCGCTCGGTGAAGCGGCTGGCTGGGTCACTGCCCGCGCGCGGTGCATACGATTTACGGACTATTTTGCAAAAGTTACTATATATAATTAGCCAGAACATTGAACGGAACGTTTTTTTAAATATTTTAGATGGTTTGGAATTATTTCTATTATTAATTTCTTAAATAAGGCGAGAATGCAAATCAACACACTCCATATAAAATTAAATATTATTGTCATCGTCGTCTGTAAATTCCATTCGGATTTCCTTTTTCTTAACAAATTGTTATTTTCAGGTGCTCAAAGCTAGTCATAAAACGAATTCTAGTAATAATAATAACAGCAGTAGTAGTAAGACGACAAACAATAACAACAAGATTGTCGAGAATGGAATGCAGAATGGTAATGGAGTTGCAAAGAAACGGTCATCTGAAGACAAAACCTTTGAACCCCATGAGAAAAAGAAAAGGATTTTAGAAAAAATTCATTACGAAGATCTCGAAAGCTCAAGTAAAAGAGAGGATACACAGGAACTAAAGCTGTCTAAGGTACTTTTTTATCAATTTTCAAACAATACCATTATGACACGTTTATGCAAGATAAGTTTAAGTTTTGTGTGAAAGTAGGACCATGACATTCAACTTTCATAACAAAACTCTCGTGATTGAGAAATATTATTCTTTATTAAATCATACTTTGTTTTGCAGATTGAACGTTACTTACTAGGACCATCTTCCCAATCATACCACACCATTACACAAGGGAACAATCCACCTCCTTTATCGGCGCTGGCGTCGATTTGTCAGGTACAAAACTTATAAAAAGTTATGAAACATATTTTTAGTAAATCTCCGTGGCAAGATCGTAGTTAGTGGAAGCCTGTGGGCTCTGTCTACCCTGATGGGAAAAGAGCGTTAAGTGTATGTATGTGTTTAATATTGTATTCCGTTTACCTAGTTAACCATGACGTAAAACTGACACGTACCCCTTAGTAAAAAAGAAATCGTTATATAAGTGACTTGAAGCAATCGAATTTATTTATTCCTATAACACGCGGGCCCCAAACAGGTTAGATTAAATATCTCTTTAGCAAAATTTACTCGCTAATTTGATGGTTTTGCATAAACTATGACAGTCTAAGGTGATTTCGTCACTCAAATTAATAATATTTGTTTACAATATTAGATAAATAAAAAAAAAATCCTTTTTTTCTGCAGGCTTGGTCAAGCGGACAGCAATGTCAACGTCCTGTGAGGTTGAGTGCAGCATGCGCTGTAGGCGCTTTAGGCGAACTCAGTCCTGGCGGGGCCTTAATGAGGCAACATCATGCCGCTTCCATGTCACGTGCGTATCCATCACCACCGTCACGTTATAACATTTGAACCTATACAAAATAGGCGGTTTTGCCATAATCGTCACATTTTGCGTCAACTTTCTATCCCAATTATTCAAATTTGATTCTGTTTTTCAGAACTGATTCCACAAGATGTTAAGGCTGAACTTCATCGCCTGTACCTCTCGGGTGGAGAATTGCTACGCGAACTGTGGAAATGTTTCCCTCAACCAGGTTCGGTGGCTGACTCCGAGGATGCTGCTGCCAAAGCTAGCAAGTTCTATGATGCGCTACTAAGATTTAAATCTATGAAACTGAGGCCGTTTGAGGTTATTGTCATTATTATTTATAATTATAGTTATTGTAAGCTCTGTTTAAATTACTGAAAGGAGGGCGTGATATTATTTATGAATAACTAGCTGCGACTTCGTCAACGTAGAATGAGTACTAAACAAATTTTCGTAGTTTTATTGGTTCTCCATACAAACCAATCGCTATTTAACCCATTTTAAAAGTTATTTTTGTGACAAAAAGTAGCCTATGTCCTTCTCCTAGATCCCATCTGTCTCTTTACTAAAATTCATCAAAATTGGTTCAGTAGTTTAGGCGTGAAACAGACAAGAGTTACTTTCGCATGTATAGTATTAGTTTGGATTATAGGGTATAAATTCGTGGTTCGGTTATTTATCCCACAACTCGAGTCTGATAGTGGTTTTTAGTTCGTAGTCCTATCAACACATTACATTATTTTGACCTTTAATATTCAATTAATGTATTTTCCTTTCTTTTCTTTCGTTCCTCGCAGTTCGTAAACAATCTGCTTTTTGGTTTTACAGGAGAAAATGCTGCGCGATCTAACTCCTTTGGCTACATCATTGACGCGCCACATGAATCAAATGATTGATACCGCTTGCACAAAATACGCAATATGGCATGATCGACAATCTAAAATGCGGTAGTATCCATTGAATCGATATTCGGATCCTACTTACCCAATAACTATGGTAGGTAGACAATAAATACTATGGCAACTATAGTATCACATAACAGTATGTCATATAATATGACACTTGAAGGAGTGAAGTGTCCTTACAGTTACTCAATTGGGGATACAAAGAGTATATATTATGTGCCTATAGTGTGTGCGGAGGGAAAGATTTTCATAGGTTACTGCGAACTGTATTCTACAACGGCACGGAGTGACATTATGTGTGACCTGTTTAAAACAATGATATTCCCTGAGCTGAGTTAGTTACGTCGTGTTAACTGCTTATTCCAGAGACTGATGCAAATGTTGAACTCTAGCAACGAGGACTGTAGAACTTACCAGCATGTTAAATCATATCTTGAGCACAATTATTAGTGGAGACTTTTTCTTAACCAAAAAAAAAAACCCATTTTTCTTTTACTTTTTCTAACAAATAATGTGTTGTATAGAAACTGCTTCAGCGATGGCTTTAGTTGCATTTTCTTTTAAACAAAATAACCCACCCAGTGTTGTATACCTAAATTGCTTTTTTTTCTGTACTGTAGCTATACACGGTCATTCCGTTCGACGACGACGACGACGGTATTACCTGAGCAGGTCCCGAATTACCTCGTTATATTAAACAATTTTAGCAAATTGAAAATGAAACTAAATCGCTTACATTGATTTTTTCAATAGAACTTGTAAATGGCCCCAAACGTTGGATTGTTTGAGAAAAATATACGCTATTTTAAATCCAATAAAATAGTTTCACTTACGATATGTAGTGATCGAAAAAACTTTAGCAAAATTATAATTTAAAATTCTTGAACAAAATTTGTGTCCTCATTCAAATTTATTGATGTTCTACGTGCATAATTCACCTGAGTAAAGAAGTCCTTAGTATTGCAAAAGTCTACAGGCAAAAATTACTGCTTTGCATCAATTGTAACATCTGTTTGCTGGTTTGCATACCATAGAAAATTACAAAATGTATTTTGAACATTTGTATGAAAAATCCAAAGCATTGGTGTAAAGTATTTAAGTCAGTGGTTTCATTTAACCAACCAGTCATTGGAATAAATTTTCAAAATATCGATATGCGGTTTATAATATATTTAACGTTCTATGCCTAAATTATGTTAAATGTCGTTTTGTAAGAACTCGGGGAAGCGCACCAAATAAGACAAGTAAATAAAAAAACTATTTACTTACTGGCTTTCTATTATAAACAATGGTATTTATAAATTATCATAATTATATTTTGAGGTAGGAGTGAATTTTCTATGATCTCCTTTTATTGCGAAAGTGAATTTTTTGTAATTTATACCTTGAACAGAACATCACTAGAAACTTTAAGCGAATATTAATGTCCCGTTTATGTATGAGTTTGTATGTATTGCTCACGTTTTGCGATTACCATATGCCGACTGTGTGTATTCTTTTGCACATATTTCTAAACCTACTGTCTTACTAGTAACTTTCCTTTTCGTCCTTTACTCGTTATGAAGTTTACATTGGTTTGAAGCTCACTTTACTGCGACTGCTATTTGTCCCTCTTTTTTATCTCATTTATTATCTAAAACAAAATAATGAACAGTGGTTCTTAAATTTAATCTATCTGCAATCCCTTAACGGATTTGTACATAGGTTTTACAGCCGCCGCACATCATTATGCGCTTTCTTTTTAGAAGAAATGTCTATCGAATTGAAGTTATACATCTCTGCTTTCAATGAATTTTTTATTTGATGTTACGTTTTGACTAATTGATTCTAATAACTAAAGTAATGTTTGATAAGAAAAGCTCTTTATTTTTGCACTGTTTCACATCTTGATTCGTGTGTCTTAAATGTACAATATAGTGTTCCCATACCACGAGTGACATTTTAGTGGTTAAAATCCAACTTCATTATATATATTCGTTTTATGTTACAGTGCAATAAAACTTTTTCTGGAAATCCGGAATTCGAAAATGTAATTAATTAATATTTAATGGTTTTAACCACTCCACTCCTTGTAGATGCAAGGAGTGACACGTAGAGTGTCCAAATACTGATTTGGGACACTATTCCGATCATTGCCTATGTGACACGAACAAATATCAGAAATGGCCTGGCTGTGCTAACAATAAGGCATATTTTCATTATGCGAGTAACTATTACTAGAAAAATATACGTTGGACCCTGGCGAAAATGCATCTTGTAAGCAAGTGTGCAATGTAAATTATTCATTTGTTTAAATGTGAAGATGTATATTCCTGCAAATTCTTACCTTTTATAAATGCGGTAAACCAGTAAGAAAAAATGTGCAACAGATTAGACACAGTGATTTTCAGTTTAAAATTGCAATTACTTTACAAATTTACGAAACAAAAATATGGTGTAAATGTGATTGGGAATTACCATTAACAACCTCGAGGACATAGCGAAGTTCAAGAACACAATTTTTGCAAACGTTACAGTATGTGACCTGCTTTAAATCCTTTTCGTACTATATAACTTAAATTTACAAAAATAAAGTGCGATTTATATACCTAACATTATTTAGCACTGCTATTAACCAGTTCGTTAAATAGTAAAGACCCGGATTTGCGAACATCGACATTGTTTATTCGCGCCCGTTAACTATATACAATAGGCATATGAATGTCGTCAGTTGAAAAAGACAACACGCGATGGTATCGACCAAGTTATATCATTTCACAATTTTTTTTATCTAGTTCTATTTTTTATTCCTTTTAATAAAGCATGTAATATATCGAGTTGAATATATAAGAACAATCGTCAATTCGTTGTGTAATTATCTGATAATTTACGGGGTCCCCGACTTGATTGCTGAAGGGGAGAATTCCCGACAGTGTGCAACAGTCCAAATCCGAGGACAAATTAGACTCTACTTTACGTTTTACGTAAAGTAGAAATTAATTTGTCAAGCCATTCACCACCCACATCTCTAATTTGTTAGCTGAAATTATCACAATTTTTTTTTTAATTTCATCATTAGTGAGTGTGATTTATTAATTATAATTCATAAATATCACTTGAATACGCAAGTACACACTCCCATCCCACACTCCTGTCCTAAAACATTTCTATTTTAATGAAATCGGATCTGCCAAGGAATTCCAGAAAATTGTGGAAAGTAAACGGTAAGAATATACGAAGTACGGACACCATACACCGTGTCGGATGTTATCGCTGCGCTTGCCAATGACAACGTCGCGCATCATGCCGGGTCCTCACTAGTGAGCTATAACCGTTCCTTGTGTAACCAAAAATCATAGTGCGTACGTAGTTAGAGAGCTTGCCGCGAGCAGAACGCATGCGGTTAGCAGTAAGCCATCTGATTGAAGACTGTTTCAAGCATACACACTAGAACCTGTTTACTGTATGTGTCACGTTACAGCTCGCTAAGGAGTATCCGGCTTCAGCTGTTTCTAACGGAATCGGTTTTTCGCGCGATCGAGGTACACGTTGCATATTTTCTTCATTTATATTTAGTTAAATGTAACAAAAACAATGGTCAAGTTAACACTGAGATACAGCTTTCAGAAAATACAATAGAAAATTTGCAACTGGGCGAAAGGGAGGTGATAGAAAATAAGTTTTGTGGCCTGATGAACTGATGACCTAAATTAAAATAAAAACTGGTTCTCATAACTCCTCTTCATCAAACCCTACAATTTAAAATTACTACCTGTAAAAATACCTCCTTTGAGTGGGGACTGATAAATGCTTAGTATTCCGAGACCTTCATCCTTTGGCTTTCGGGCACTTCCTGATCGGTACACCAAGTCACACTACAGCTCGAGAAAGCCTAGTCAATTAGGCGCATTTCAATAAATCGAAATCCTGAGACAATTTTCTGGAAGAAATGGCGTCATGGATTCTTATGTGAACTATAGTGATCCAAATGGCGAATTAACAAAGGAGAGCTACTGCTGGAAGACATGGTCATCCTCAAAGAGACCAATCTACGCCTATTAAAATGGCTATTGGGTTCAATGTGGTGCATTGGAATACCCTGGGCCTGACTGAATCGCTCGCTTGACAGATGATGCAACATCGAGAGACTTAACTACAGTTAGCAATTTTTATTCTACTTAATGTTCAGGCAGATGATCTTGAAATCCCATGATCGTCGAGAGGATGTCACGTCAGTTGAAGCGTAAAAGATTGATGATTTCAACTTTTTTTATATATGTACATTATATATATTTAAATTTTCATTCGGAATTAAAACTATAAAGGCGGCTTCCCCCGGCCTGTGACGTCAAACGTGCCGATTTGTACGGGTGAGCTCGCAAAACGGACGAGTCCGGGTGTCCTCGGGCCGAGAGTCGCGTTGCGTATTCGATACATATCGAAGGCTAGGCCTAGGCGAGCGTGTGCGCGCACTTTGAAGTTATCGATCCAAACAGGCCGCCACAGACAAGCACGGACGCGCTCGCGTAACGGGCCACGGGCCTTGGGAAGCTGCCTTTAAAAAGCGTCAGTTCTTTGTGTAATACTTTGATCTAATCAAATACTCAAATATGAATAGACTCGATAAATCCGCGGTTGCGGTACGGCCTGCAAACTTGGCGGGAGAGGATCGCAAGGCGCGCAGTTATTTACGATCGATTGAGACCGTCAGTTAAGGCTCAGACGTGGCCATGGACCCACATCAAAAACGAGCTATCGCGTTATATTTACTTCATCGAAGAATTAAAAGAAGAAGGCCTAAAAGATTCAGAGTGCATCCTCTGATTCCGGAAAGAAATCGTTACGGATTATTCGTTCTTATTAATGAGATAAAAAAACAAGAAGACAAATTCTTTAATTTTATTCGGATGTCCGTATCTGCTTATTCAGAACTTTTAAGAAAAATGGTAACTGGTAGAAAATTAATTGATCGACTTCAAAATCCATAATTTTGCAATCGAAAATCAATCACAAAATGGCGTGGGAAGGAAAGACCCAAACCGCGCGCGTGGAACGCGTCACCCGCGAACCGACCGCGTCTCCGCTGCGGGCGTAAAACGCGTCGTGAAATGTGCTACTAAATATTGCATACATTTCTACATTCTTCGGAGGCCGCGGTCCCGCAACCGCGGCGGGCGCGGGTGAAAACCGCTCCATGAGTTCTTAGCCTAAGGGTCAGCGAAAACCGCCGCGTCCGCCCGCGGAAGGCAGAGGACATTAAATTTATCAATGTATGTTTTATGCTATTTCAATTGAAATAAGGTAAACATTTGAATGCTCTAGCATCGACCTCGAAGTATCGTAGCGCATTTCTCTGCGCCTCAGAGCATTTTATAAGTACCTAATTTCTATTGTTATAGCATAAAATACATATACATAAATGTCGTGTCTTCAGCCTTGCTCTCAGTTTGCGCTGGCCCTAAGGGTAACGCAATATTTATCAGCAATTTAGCAATGAACCTTTACTGAATAACATATTATACTTTATAATGCAAGGAACGACTCTAGTTACAAACCAGCTTTCGAACAAATTCCATCCCAAGCTAATCTCATCTTGAGAACGGGCGCTTTACTGAAAAATGCTATGAAGATTGATTAGAATAATAGGTCCAACCCTAACATTAAATAAAACAAATCACACTTTACAGTGCTTCTGTATTGAACGTTTAGTGTAAAAAATGGAAGTAAAATACACTAAAGTCTACATGTACGTTCAATAAACAAGTACTTGATTGTTGGCCTACTGTCCACCAAAACGAAAATGTGACACAATAATCATTATACAAGTGGAATGAAGCAGCCATGTAGATATTTTTGTACATAAATATAGTCATCTTTCGCAGTTCGCACATCTTCGTATTAGTGGGTAGTTGGCGTAATATAAAGGTGATGTTTAGTACACAAATGCTGTACTTAATGTGTAATACTTTTATAAGGTCTTTAGAACTTTAAGTGTTTAGTTGACTATATATAGTGCATTTCGGAAAACCCAATCGTATTTCCTAATTTATAAATGTAATCGTTGTACCGAGCGAGACTAATGTTAACGTAACACTGACATAAAAGCTGTGGATATTATATACATAATTAGGTATAAGTCACGAATTGTCGATGCTTTAATTTCAATATTATACCTACTTGTAAGTACTAAA